CATATTAATGTTTGGAAATATTGCTTCGCTAAATATTGTTCTTTTGGCGTTCAGCTTTCACTGGAACTAAAAAATACATGTTTATGTTTTCAAGAATGTCCGGGACAGCCCGTTGAATAAAAAATTATAAAGTTTTAAAAAAATGCAATTTTCAAAAAAGGCCATCGATCGATTTTGATAAAAATTACATTTTTGGATTCAGCTCACCGTCAGCTCTCGAATGGTATATATAGTTTCTTTTGAGCCTGAGATGACCTTCCGACGAACCGTGCCTTATACGCGAAGAAATAATGGCAGACGCCGTGCCGTCTTGGTCGATGGCTGCCAAACAGGGCGACAACAGGCGCCCGCAAAACAAACCGCCCCACACGACAATGCCACAGGATGGCTGAGTTATGTTCCCAATCTTTATGTCCGTGTTATGCAAGATTTACGGCGCCGTAAATATTGGTCGTTTATTGTGCACGGTCGCTGCGGGGCGTCGCGCGCGATTTGGCGCCGACTGGTGTCCAGTGGTGGCGCCATGCGACACTGACGCGACCCCTGACCCGGGCCGGGGTCGCGGGGTCGGATCTGACCCGCCGGCTGACCTCGCCTCGCCAGACACCGGCCCCAGCGGCCCCAGCGGACCGGTGGCGCCGAGCGTGACAATGTGGCAAGGCGTGCATCACACGCGGCAGGCAGAGGCGGAGCTTCCTATACAGGTGGTGAGACAGCTGCCCCAGCAACCTGCCATTTTGCTCCACCAATAACCGTTTGCCCCATCCACTTTATCTGATTACGACTTTGTTGCCTTCCAAATAGGTATTTTTATCGCATTGAGGAGCTTCGGAATGTCTGCGTTATGTAAAATATAAACTTTGCAATAATAAGAATTGATTCAGTGTAGCATTTTATTCAACTTGACAATCGGCATTGTAGATTTGGCGACTTCTTTTCCCACCACCTTCCATGAAGAAGCTGCTCCACCCGCAGGGACAGTCCCGCAGGGACAGTCCCGCAAATCAGCTCCAATTTCAGACGCACTTCATTGAACAGGTTAGGCTTGGGCTGCTGGGGAACGTTTTGTCGTGCTCTCGTAATGCATACAGCCTTCTTAGTTGTCATTATCACATTGAAGCAACACATCATTTTGATCGAACCGCTCAATGTTTTACCGTTTTAGTAAGTTTTCTGCTCTTTATGGTATTTATTCAGCATCAGCGACCTGTCTTCCATGGAGTTCTCGCCGCATTCTCTGAATCGAAATATAATTGTTTAATACCTTATGGAAATTGATTGTCTTAGTTTAACTTCACTTTTGCTAAATGTGTATTGAAAACTATTTTTATAGTTAGATACCGCAGGGAAAGTAATGCCACGGCCCATGAGCCCCTTAAAATAAATATCCATGCCATGCCCCATTCATATCTGGTTTTTGAACATAACTAGCGTCTATCGCAGTGCATGCACAGAAATGGACATCCGATATTGGTTGACTAATGACTACACTTCAGTGGTTGTCCCTTCACTTCAGTGCCCGCAGTCGCAAGTTTTCGAATAGCATGCAGAAGTGGATACGGATGTTAATTTCTAGCACGTTTCACGGGCTGATTGTCCAAAAACACTTTGCCCAACGTTGCCAAATAAACTGTTTTGGGATAGGATGTAAAATTAAGGATATCTGCTAGGTTTGAGGATTGGTATGTTTTTATAGCGGCTGCTAGACTGTGACTGAGTGGCCATCAGGATTAATTACTGCATGCCTGCCAGGCGGGATGGTCCCTGTTATAGACCTGTGACTCTCAGAGTCCGTGACTCTGAGCTGCCGTCCGGGATCAGTCGAACCTGGCCGGTCCGGCCGCCGTCCACCCGCAGTGACACTTTACGGCCGCCCGTCACCGAGGACCACGGACCACGGACCAGCCCTCTGGGACCGCGGACTACCGCCCTGGGACCGCGGACCACCGCTCTGGGACCGCGGACCACCGCCGCTGACCGCAGACCACCGCTCTGGGACCGCGGACCACCGCCGCTGACCACGGACCACCGCCCAGGGACCGCGGACCACCGCTCTGGGACCGCGGACCACCGCCGCTGACCGGACCGGACCGGGCTGGTCAGCCGGCCATTGAGCGGCGCCCAGCCGGCCGTCCGCTCCGTCCAGCTGCCACACAAACTGTGCTCCCAGCGCGCGTTACCTCCCCCACTGAAAGCCGAGTGTCACCACACAGCCCAACTTTATGTGTCATATGTTACCCCATAAACTCGGCGCATATCTCCCACTGGTGGGCGGACGGGCTGCATAAAGGGGCGGGCTGATTTCAGACGCGGACATCCACGCTCAGTGCCGCGGCGGCCGTGTGAGCCATGGGCCGTTCAGCAGTGTTGCACACACTGCACACTGCACAGTGCACATCATCTCCCTGGAGCTTCCCACCGACCCGCCCCCATCCCCTGAGAGCTGACCACCACCTTACGGCTCTCAGCCTGCCTCAGCGCCCTCGGGCTGGTGCTGCCCTGAGGCTGGAGGCTGCGGCTGTCCTGTGTCTGTGCCTGCCCTGGGGCCGAGGATGCACCACCCTGGGGCTGAGGCTGCACCGTCCGCCCACGAGCCGTCCGTCAGTCGCCCGCGGCACGAGGCGATGTACCGCCGCTCGTTATACGACCATCAGCCGGCATTACACCGAGCTGTCGGATCAGAGCCACTGGCCGCGGGCTACAGTCCCTCCCCCCTCCCTGCACGAGCCCCGCCCGGGGCACCCAAACGGCGGGGCCGGGGCGCCGGGACAATCGGCCGAGTGCCGCCGTCAGCAGCGCCGGCCGCCGACATCATCAGAGCAATCGCCGTAATCCGGCGGCGCGCCGCTGCCCGGGCCGCCCGGCCGGCGGCGATGGCAAATTAATTAGCGGGGCGGCCGCACGGCAGGTGGGCGGGCGGGACGGACCGGCCGACACACACACAGACAGACAGACGGGCACGTGCGGCCCACAATGGGCCGCGGCGAATGACCGTGCCGCGATCAGATTGGGCCGGTAAATCGCGCGGCCCTTTCCGCCCACTCGCTATGATGATGATAAACATCTCCCGGTTAGGAGCTACATTAATTAAGCACTAAACGCTTCTGACTGCACAATTAGGCGGAGCTTCCAGCCATAATTGGTTTGTTATAAGAGAGAGAATAATGATGTATGTCTGGTCACCGACATAAATCTCCATCGTCGGGACAAAGTTTGACAGAGTGGAGATTGATCTGCTGCGGATCGGCGACCCTTGCTAAGCCCTAAGGAGTGGCTGTCAGAGCGGCGCTCGCCCCCAGAGCGGCTGCGGGCTGCGGGGCGGCATCTGGCGCGCTGCTGCGGCGGCCACCTGTGCCGCGTCGCCGCCGACGAGAGGCATTGATGTGGTGCTCGGGCCGGCCGCGGAGGGCCGCCGCTCAAAGGCACTCGGCGGTCTGGAGGGCGCTCGACGCCCCACTCCACAGACTGTTACCAAATGATGGGCGCTCAGAGCCCGCGCCGGCCGCCGGGGGACTCGAGTGGCGGCGCCGTGCAACTTATCCGGCTCGATGGCCGATCGGTGCGGCCGGGACTGGGGAGCGCCGCTGCTGAAACTGCTACCCCGCCACTCCACCCCGCGCATGAAGGAGACTACTGCGCTGCGGGCCATGATGTCGCTGAGCCTCAGCTGATCACTGCGCCTAATACGTCCAGTGAGAGAGCCTCGGGCCACCTCGGAAGACCTTCGACAGACCACCTCGGACTACCTCCGAACACCTCAGACCACCTGAGGCCACCTCAGACCACCTGAGACCACCTCAGACTAACTCGGACTACCTCCGAACACCGCGGACCACCCCGCACCACCCCGCCACCCCCTCGGCTACCCTCCCTATCCTCGCGAAGCGGCCCACAAAGCCGCGGGTTCGGCGGCGCATTTGCGCTGTCGCCGTGCGCACGACCCGGCTGGAAAAAAGGCGGTCGTCCGGGCGGGTGTCGGCGGCTGCAGAGCGCCGGCCATGTCCGGATAAGTGCACACATCCCGCCGGGCCATGCACGCTATTTACGACACCGTGTCCGGCCGGTCTCGGCGACCAGCGGCGGTGACGAAACCGCTTGCATCAGGGCCGTCTCGGAGGAGTCGGAGCTATAGCCGGCTGTCGGCCCGACACCGCCGCGGCCCAATGGACAGTATTTATCATGACGCGGTAAAGCACACGTGATAAGAGGCGCAGGAACGCCGATAAATTGGCCGCAGACGGCGTCACGCTCGCCGAGCGGTGCCACGAACTGCAGCCCCGCAAAGTGATTTGGTTACAAATATCGCAATAAATTAGTCGGAATTTTACTTACCAGCAACATCTCATTGAAATAACGAAAGAAATAATTAATATATTTTTTAAATTTTTGTCTCCAGTGTATTTGAACATAAAAGAAGGCAAATGTTGGTGTAATACTTTAGCCTAGACTTTACTGGTGCTATAATATAATTTTTTTCTAGAATTCTAGTTATCTAAACGAAGCTCAGCATTTAGGTACCTACTGTAACCCACCATTGGTCAATTAAGATTTATGGGAACCACTTGCACTTTAAAAAAGTGGATGGTGTAGCTGCGTATGATCAACAAGACAGTTATGAAATGCAATAAATTGAATACCCTGTTGCTCATGAGTTTTAACTTCTTTAAACCGTATTTTATGTTGTTAAATTGCACCGAGTAACTATGCTAACCCTCGTACTTATGCGTGCATACAAAGGTTACAAAGGTGTATAAACGTTTAAAATACTGCGTTTTAGTTTTGATTTAGCATTATTTATATCATTTGGAATAAAAGAAAGGACTTACATCATGTTTTTGAGCGAACATTTCTAGGAGATATGGAATATAATAATGTAAGGTTCATGGAGAGTACGTTAGTGCAAATCCTTGATAGGTGAACAAGTGCAAGAAGTAAGACAGTTTCGAGTTCCCGACATTCCGGTACATTCAGAGCACCGTCCAGCCCCGATCAGCACTCACCGTGACGTCGATCCCGGCTCGTCACAGCGGGGCAGGCCTCCCTCCGTCTCCGTCGCTGCCGTCTCCGGTCTCTGCCGTCTCTCCTCTGACGGTGAGTTCAGCTCAGCGCTGGCGGCCCGTGTGTCAGTGGTCCTGGTCGGACGGACGGCGCACGGCCACCATGGACCGGAGTCGGGCACGCTGCTCGCCGCAGATTATATCGGCCGGTGCATTAGTGACGCGACGGCGGCTGTCGTGGCGCGTTACACGCCCGGTCGGCGCCGCGTGCCGGTAAAACACGCCGAGACGACCAAAAACCGGCGGCCGGGTCAGCGCGGGCGGCGCCGGTGCGGTCACACTGTCCGCAGTCCGCGCGGTCTCTCAGTCCGCAGTCGGCACGGTCTCTCAGTCCGCGGTCAGCGCTGCCACACAGTCCACAACCGACGGTAGCTCTCCTCTAAGCAGCGCGCACTCCGTTCACGACCGGCGGTCACTCTGTCCTCGGCCAGTGGCCAGTCAGCGAGCGACCGTATCCGATAGACGAGCGCTCGTGTCCCCTACTCCGCAGTCGCCTCAAGTGTCGGCGTTTGGCGCGTTCCGTGCATTCACACTCAGTCTAGCAGATGTATCCGGAACTGTATGGAATAATTACCGCCTCGGGACGATCTTTCATGTGCCCTCTTTGGATTAACGAGATTCAAGGAGATCTTCAGCTAAGCCTCTTGTTTACATATCTTCCGGACGTCGCCTGGATCTGGGCAAATCTGTGGCGTTATCAACTGGATCTGGGCAGGTCTCGGCGGCTGGATCTCGGATCTCGACACGATCACGGATGCACTTAGGTGAAGTCTGCAGACGACTCGGCCGCGACTGTGCCGCACCTCTCGGAGCACCTGCCGATACTCGGCGGCGACACGAATCCCGTCCCACCTCCGGCCCGGTCTCCACCTCGCCTCGATCTCTCCTCGATTCGGCGCGGATCTCGCCGAGATAGCGGCTGGATCTGGCGCGGATCTCGGTGATCTGGGGAGCGCTCCGGTCGCCGGCCGCGCCGCAGCATCCCCTGCCGCGGTATGACACCAGAAAAGAAAGTGAAGAGCCACACGGCGGGCGGCCGCTGCGCAGAACCAGTTTGGTGCAGCCGCGACAGCGCCGCTGTCCGCCGGCGGAGGACGCGCCGTGCCGCGCGGTCACCTCGCAGCGGGGGCCGGGGGACGGGCGGGTCGGGTCACTACAGTGCGCGGGAGGATGCGCCGCGCGGATCGACTCGGCGCGGGACCGGGAAGTCGGGGGCCGAGTCACTGCAGCAGTCGCAGACATATAGAGCATAGATAGAGCATAGTTGGTTGCGGTCTGAACTGTCTTCATGATCTCATGATCAGGGCGCCACTGGGGACCACAGGCTCATGACGTCCCACCCGGCACCCCCAAAACTCCCGGCAGCGGCGCACTGATCACACAGAGACACAGAGCCTCACACAGACCACACAGAGCCTCACGGGGCGGGCGCGACCCGTGACTGGAGGGCTGTGTCGCCTGCAGGCCGTGATTGTGGCTGCCATGTCCTGTCCGGCCCCGCGTGGCTGACGGGCGCGGGACGCGGGTGGCATGCAGGGCGGGGTGGGACAGCGGCGGACGGAGACACGCCCTCCCTCCCTCCCGACTGACTGTCGGGGACTCGGGATGGATGGGGGAGTCGGCCGGCCCCCAGCGCTGCAGCCAGCGCCCTGCAGATGCAGCTAAAACAGCGCATGACACAATAGCTGCCACGAAACTAGCTGTACTGCAGCAGACTGCAGACTCTATGTTCTCTGGTTACAATTGAAGGTTGTAAGAAATTATTAACGTCGGTAGTTTCCTGTGGCAGTTCATATTACTTCGCATTTGTTCAATGGTTTACTGGTAGTCCATTGCATGTGTGCCAGCCATGCATTCATCATTGTTGACCAAAGAACGCAATGTTTGTACAACTGCATGCAACCTGAAGGAAACATTAAAACGTAATCGATCTAAGTATAATCAAAAACTGAAGAAAGCTTCGTTTTATTTTCGCTAAATTCAGCTACATACTTGTAAGTTGCCATGTGACCAAATGTGATCGGGAGCGTCATTGTCGGGATGATGGCTTTACTGCCCTGGCACCCCACTAACGACAGACAGAAACACTGCACCATTAGCTTCTGGGGCATCTTTACTGCCATCTATACACGGATCGTGAGGACCCCGCCTCCAAACCAGATAACCTGTAACCACCGTCGGCACCCGATAAGGTATACGGGACGGTGTTCCCCAGCCGGCCCACTGGCTGATGGTATCGGCTCGCCGCCGGGCGGGGAGCGCCGCCGCGCTGTTTGGGGCACAGCGCGGCCGCCGGTCCCCCCCCCCCCCCGCAGTCGGCAGATGCTGCTCCGGAGTCGGACCGGTGCCCGGCCAAAAATGCAGCCCCGTCACTCAGGCTGCGCGGACGCTGTCCTTCCCGGACGAGCCAGGTGATCACGACGGAGGTGTTTTTACGGCCGGCTGCAGCGACGTCCGCGCCTCTATGAGAAATGCGACTGGAGATAACACGAGAAAAAGGCGACGACCTGCGCCGTAACAGCGACAGTGCTCAGACGGTTGCGCGGGCCGAGCTGGGACATCAAATGGGCACCCCGCGTGATGGCAGCTGCTTGTAGCACGGCATCGGAACGGCGGATGACAGGACACTGAACATCGGCGACGGGTGTAAGGGAATGTTGTAGTGAGACTGAACTAGTCTCACTGGCGGCGAACGATTGCAGGTAACATCTCACCAAGCCCATGAACTGAGAGCGGTGGCCGGTGACTCATGGTAAGTCATCAGTTGCAGTGGCTAACAGATCGCCCTCTCGTCCCTGGGGCTATTTCTGCGTGAACCGAACTGGTAACTAGGCTCAGCACTGCACGTTATTAGCCTCTGCCATCCCGCCAACTACTGGCTAAAGTGTGCCTTCGGGCATCCTCCTCCCAAAGGCAAGTGTGTGGAGGTCGGCTTATCAGCTTGCATACATAGGCAGCACCTGTCGGCTACCACTGCGGCGCGCCATATCACCTACGGAATCAGAGCGAAACACGTGTACGGAATGGCGCTTAAAGTCCTTGGGCACATTGAGTCGCTATAAGAAAAATTGTAGGAACTTCACCGAGTAAGTAGTACAGTCGGTGACATTCATTCATAAAAATGCGAGCTTCCTCGCGCTGGTGGTTGGCCTGATTTTTTCCTTTGCCCTGATGTCTAGGATTCTGACTCATTCCGTCCGATCGATATCAATCGATAAAAAACGCGCGCCTGCCGCTGTCATCGGACCACCCGGCGACGGGCACATCTCTCTATTGAGCGGGCAGCAAGGTCGGCTCACCCGACCGGACCAGTCGGAGAAAAACTCTCCGTCTGGACCATCCCGTGTCAGCCCTGACACCCGCCGCCGCCTTTTAGATCGCGCCGCCGCCGACTGCCGGGGACGGCCGTCTCTCTCCCTGCAGCGCTGGCCGCCGGCTTTTACCACCGGTGCTCGCGGCTCCGCCAATAGGTCACTCATGTCTGGCAGCGTCGTTCGGCATCCCCTCGGCGGCCGGCGGCCACTCTGCGCGCGCCCGGACCCGCGCGCCGCAGATGGACGCACCGATAGCCGCGCGGAGAGGGGTCACCGCACGGGCCGCCGCCATTAACGCGAAAAGCTTTAGGAGCTGTTTCGCATGATCCATTAAAAGTTGTCTCCATTTGAGCTGCCTGCCTGCACTCGAGGCAATGGCTTCGCAGCTAGGTGCAGGTGTAAAAGTCTGTTGCGCCACTTTCGGCTCGAAATGGCAGGGGCCTCGGCAAGCTTCTAATTGCTACCGACCAGATACAATCTTTACGTAATGGACACATCTTCACAAAGTGCTGTATACAACCAACAGATTTCAGCCTACAAGGGAGTGGGTAATCTGAAAGATGAATCCAACTGGAATAACAAGGAAGATATGGACAGAGTTTGACGCACGGACAGATCGGTTTGATGTTACAGTCCATACGATCGGAAAGATGGAGCGATTGAAGAGTGACATACGCCCACGTTACTTGAAGCCTACTGAGGTAATGTCAGTAGATTTCCCATCACACTGACCCAACTCGACAAAGCCAGAAAATTGGGCGGACTACAGGCAGCCGTCCGAGCTGTTAGACAGACGGAAGGGGATGGGAGGGACCTCATCCCCTTTGAGGTCAGAGCATGTCGGTTCCGCCATTCAGTGCTGGGACAGCGGTGTGCGCTGATGAGCCGGTCGCTGGCTGATGAAGTTCTCCGGCTCCCAGACCGCCGGGCCGGGCCAGCGGGCCTCATATCGCCGCTACCACTACGAACCGCCGGGCCGGGCCAGCGGGCCTCATATCGCCGCTACCACTATGAACCGCCGCGCCGCGCCAGCGGGCCTCATATCGCCGCTACCACTATGAACCGCCGGGCCGGGCCAGCGGGGCTCATATCGCCGCTACCACTATGAACCGCCGCGCCGGGTCGGCCCGTGCGGCCGGCGCAGAGGGAGGGACCGGCCCGCCCCTCATTACACGAACAGGTGGCTGTAATAGAGACCGACAATTATCGCCACTGACCGCAGCCTAATTGCCCCCCCCCCCGCCCCTTTGCCGGCTGGGCGGGCGGGTACCGCTGCCAGGGCCGCAAAGATAGGAGCATATAAAGCAGACATACAGACAGAGCAGAGCAGAGACAAATCACATACGAAGAGGAAGACCGAAGTCAACCAGACCTCACAGCCACATGCAAACAGAAACGGTGACCAATGGCCATTACCTAAGCAGGGGCGCCCGGTGGATCAAGCACCTTGCGTCCAGTCTGCAGTGTCCTGGCCACCGTTTCGAGCGTGACGCGTCGGCGGCGGGCGGCCCTCCGCCACGCGCCACTAGTTATGGATCAGATAGCCGCCCGAAACTTGACCCGCGCGCCGCGACAGGTGGCATGTGGCCGGTATTCGGACCCGGTGACGCAACCGACCTGCAGCGGCGGCCGTTCTGAGAACGCCATTTGGCCTCGGTTTGCCGAGTTCTCGATGGGCGGCGTCCGTTTCTAGGAATAGGCCCCAGGTCGGCCGGAGCTGGCCCGACGCTCCATGGCGTGCTGTGTGAGGGCCGGGCGGGGCCGGGCGGGGCGGACAGGCCGGGAGAGTGGCTGGGTGGGTCGGCTGGGCGGCTCTGGTTCTCCAGTTACAGTGACAGTGTCCTCTGTCGTCCGCTGACGGTGGATTGTCGGCGCCGGCGGGACAGACGGCGGCGCAGCAGGCGCCTATCGGCCCATCAGCGCCCAGAGTGACCCAGCTCCGGGTCTTGGGACCTCACTAATCCCGTCACCTGACCTCACAGCTGACCCCAACGGTCCCTGACCTCCCAGGACTGACCTCACCGGTCCCTGACCTCCCAGGACTGACCTCACCAGTCCCTGACCTCACCGTTTCCTGGCAGCTTGGACTGACCTCACCGGTCCGTGACCTGTCATCTGACCTCACCGGTCCCTGACTTCCCAGGGATGACTGCACCGATCCCTGACCTCCCAAGATTGATCTCACCGGCTTGTGACCTCTCAGGATTGGCATATTCGGTCCCTGAGCCCCCAGTCTGGTGACTGACCTCAGCGGTCTCTGACATCCCAGTCTAGCGACTGACCTCATCGGTCCCTGGCCTCCCAGGACTGACCTCACTGGTCAATGAACTCGGCACTCGGTACACTAAAAAATCAATATCCAAGCATCTGACCTGCTGTCACATTACATGAATTTCGTCGGTCTCGTTGGTTCGTGGAGCATGGCTCGCATGTTACGCTTGAACAGATTGCTGAAGTCAGACATTATTTGAGCCACTTTGGGTACGTTCTGCAATCTCCAGAACGTACGTTTCGGGACAAAAAAAAAAACGAAGTGCCTCGTACCCTGACACCGCAATATCTCTGCGTTCTCAGAACATGAGCCACACATAGAGTCTGCCCAGCCGCCCGTGTCAGCCCTGCTCAGTAACCGCGGCGTTCTCTGGCCGGCGCGCCGTCCAGGACCC